CTGATATACTTGAATTTTGCAATTTTAGTCCTTATTTACGGATAGTCATTTTACTTGGAATAAGGATCAAAAAGTAAACTACTCAGGTATTTATTCTTAAATGTAATATTGATGAATAATGAGACAAAAGGGTAAAATCGTAAACTTGCAAAAAAATTGTACCTGTAATTTATCGGTTCTGAGAAATCTGCGACCACGGCGGCTTCCATCAGGCATACGGACAAGAAGGGTGACAGCATTTTCATCATCAGAAGAAGGTTCATGAGGAAGGGAAGCTTCTTTTGCTGCTAATTGTCTTTCAATTTCCTGAAAAAGGGCAAAATGGTCATTTATCACAAAGTTTATAAACTATAAAAAGTATAAACAACAGGCTCACCTGCTCTTCTTCTAACTTAATGCGAGCCTCTTCCTCTTTTCTCCTTTCTTCTTCCATGGCAGCTTCTTTGGCTGACTGTTCTAGCAATTCCTTTTCTCTGTCAGCTTGTAATGATGCAAGATACTCATCATCCTGAGATTATTATGTATTTATTTATTTATCAGTAATGGCAAAATCGGGATTTTGTGTTGATGAAATGTAGTAATGTACCTGTTGTTCGCGTATTAAACGTTGAGCAGTGAGAGAGGGTGAGGGAGGGCGTGGCGCAGGCCTAGGATAAGATCCTAGACCTCCTCCATGTCCATCAATCAAACCATTTTGCATGAACTGATGAGGGGCATAAGGGACATTTACATTATACCCTGTGCCTTCAGGGATTCCACCAAATAATGCAGCCTCAAGCATCACTGCTTCATCGTGTTCCAAAGATGAGATGCCTCCCCACTATAACACAAAAAAAAAAAAAAATGATTATTTGTGTATGTATTATTTAAAATGGATTATATTATATTTGTTGATAATGAGGAAAAGATACTTCATGGAATTCATTGGCATTGTTTGCAGGAGGATTGATGATTGGTTGATGTTGAGGACTTGAAGGTGAGCTCAAGTTAACTTCTTCAATGTCTTTGTCTTTTCCAGAGTCAATAGAGGTGGAAGCCATAAAACGAATCCTGTTTCTAACCAAAGGTTGATCTTCTACATCTTCAACTTCATCTGGAATCAATGAGCTGCTTCCCACATCCAACCTATTTTACATTTGCATACTTTTGTCATAACTACATTGATTCCATAGTATGATGGAATGGAATGAACAAAGTAATGGAATGAGCAAGGTAAGGGAATAGGTTATTACTACATTCCATAATATGATATCTGAGAAACTTACCTTCCATTTGATGCTGATAATGTGTCCACTTCTTCCACATCAAACTTAGAACCTCTTGGTTCTGATGGTCCCACTTCAGATCCTAGCTGGCGTAAGGCTTTTTCTTGTTCAGCAGTCTGAAAAGGCCAAAAGATCAATGTTAAGGAAGAAGGAAAGAACATGAAATGAGATTAGGAGTTTAGGATATGAACCTTTAAAGATAGAGAAACTGCTTGTGCTAAATCAGGATCTTCCAATTGCCTTAGATTAGGTACAGCAACATCCCTTTGACTCATCTGGGAATCCTGTTTGGAAGCCTCGATTGCAGCTCGAATCATCTCTTCTTCAATTCCATGATCAGGGGAATCACCGATTCCAGGAGCACTTGCTGTCAAACGAGTGTTTACACCTGCACGTGATGGAAGAGAAGTTGGAAAGTCTTCATCATCATCATCATCATCGATTATCACATGTGCACGGGTTTCTGGGACATTTTCTGTTGTTGTCTCTGTGACATCTTCGATTCTTGGAGCATGTCCAGAATGATCTGATTCTGTACTTGGCCCATCCTTGACCTCAATTGGAATCTGCCTCACTTCTCTTGGATGAGACACAAATGGTTCACTACCCCTGAACCCTGGCCCACTATCGAATATACTTCTTGTGAAGTTTGGATCGAGAAGAGAGAATGGGTTGATGTTGATGTCTCTAGCAGAAGGAAAGAGGGAGAGAGGAGGTCTCTGAGATGGAAGAGTTGGATCATCTATGTCCATGAAATCCTCAGGTGGAGCAGCAATGGAGGTTGCCTGTCTGCTATAATTACATATTTACATAAGTGAAATATGAGTCAGAAAGTAAGATGGAAGTTGTGATTTGTGAACTTAAATGGTGAAGAAAAACTAACATGTTTCTATCTCCTTCAGTGAAATGTGCATTAACAGCTACATTGAGATCTCCCCCATTCTCCTGATAGAAATATAGATAGCAAATATCTTAGTAAACTTTGAAATTTACAAACTGAAATCCAAGAAAACATGAAGCAAAAATCCTCAAAGCCATGAATCCTTACCAAAGCAAATGCAAAATTAGACCATTTTGAGATAATCTCACTTGTTGACCTTATTAATGCCAAACAAGTTACTTACAAACAGGAACCAAGAAAAAATCGCTACCTTGATTGAACTTCGTTACAAGTAATGTTCGGAGATTCGATATGCAAGAAAACCCTACCACTTTTGTGTATATAAGTGCTAATTTTGAAATCAAGCCCTAGCCCTTTCTACAATAACATAGTAAATCAAAATTGCATCTATATGGAATCAGTTTATTCAGATGAAACTAAAAATTAGGGAATAGTTAAAAACTAACCCCTACATTCTATTCTAACATCGAAAATCAAGCTCGAGATAACATATAAGCACGTATTAACACTGCTAATAGGTACCACAACAAATCAAATAAACGATGTCAATTAATCAAGAAGGAAAAAAGGAAAAGAAAAACTATATGATCAGTGACGCGATTTAGATGAAGATTTAGTGTAATTACCGTGAGTTTCTGTATAGCAACCGATTCAGATGAACCGGTGATGCTCATGAATGTCTCGATTGCTTCTTGATTAGGTGTCGCCATCGACGGAATTTTGCAAAACAGGTTATTCTTCAGTTGAGAAGAAGATATATATAAAGTTGTGAACGATTAAAATCTGGTTGTGG